AATAATTATTAAAAAAAAACATATTTATAGCGTTACAATTTAAGACTCCTTCAATAAACAATTTTTCATTCTCTAATCAATCTTGAATTAAACTCACTATTCTATGACAATATTTGGTGAAGTTCACTGTTAAACATAGGCCGTTCGTAAAGAATTCAATTCCGGTCTTGATCATTTTGAATCCAGTTGTGCTAGTTGTGCTTGATATCAGTTGACCATCTTGTTGGAAGACGTCTTCGATTCCAGTAAGTATCTTGTCTAGATCTTCATTCTAAAATATTCTTTATCCATCTTCTATCTTTAACTCTGGTGAGATGGCCTGCTCAGTACCATTTCAGCGTTGTAATTATTTTAACTGCGTTAATAACACAATTTTTTTTTTATTTGAAACTCTCTTATGATGGATATATTAAACATTTACCTCTTCGTTGCTTTTTGTACCACTTCAATCCCCACACTCAATCCAAGACCATCTTCTGCAAGTACGTAAGAATATCTGATTTAAACTTCCCTCAGTTTTCCGTAAGCTGTCCATGTTAGTCCTCTTGTCCTGTTTAATTCCTGCTGTTTGATTGTCTCTTCTTAATTTAATCTCGTGGCTGAAGAAGTTGGCATTCATTATTTACCCGGACTGCAAAGCTAAAGTTATTCAGAAATGCCCAATTTAAGTTATTATTTTTATGACACTCTTCTATGAAGCGGTGAATAGTTTAGGAGTAATAGAATCACCTTGAATGTATTTGTGTTGTCATAGTACGTTTTGACTGCAGCTGTTACTCTATTATAGATTCTAAAGAAGACTTATGTACCAATGATCAATTTTAGACTCTGTAAGCTTTCTTAAGGAATAACTAAGCTGGACTGAGTCAAAAGCTTTCTCAAAGTCTACAAATATTAATATTAATGCCGTGTCGTATTCTATAACTTCCTCTATTAATTACTGTTAGGTAGTATATCGTTTTAAAGTCACTCATATATCTGGTTTGCTCTATTGGTTGGTAAAAATCTAGCTTAAGTCCTAGTCTGTCCAGAGTATAACTAGTATTCATCATCATATAACGGGGGTCCTACGGCGATTGCCGCTCCCGCATTTCAGCCTCCATCTTTTCCTATCTCTCCAATCTCCCTCTTCTAAGCCTCTAGATTGCATTGTTTTTGTAATTTCTCTTCTCCAGGAATTTGGTGGTCTTCCCCTTTTCCTTCTTTCTGGCGGAACATACATTAAGGCTTTCTTTGGCCACCGCTCCTCCTCCATTCACATCACGTAACCATACCATTGTAATTGCCTTCCTTGTATTCTATCTGAAAGAGTATCTCTAATTCCTGTACGGTTTCGTATTTCCTCATTCCTGATTCTTTCCATTCTCGATACTCGACATGACCTTCTAAGGTAATCCATTTCCACAACGTCTACTTTATCTCGTTCATTCTTTGTCATCGTCCAACATTCGGCACCATATGTGGTAATTGGTTCTACAATTGCTCTGTATACGCGAAGTTTGGTATGCATCTTTATTTTATTAGACCACAGTAATGAATTCAGTATTCGGATGCATTTTTTCCCTTGGGTTATTCGGTTTTGTACATCTATCTTAACTCTGCCATCTGCTGATATGATGCTTCCTAGATATTTATACTGGTTGCAGCCTTTTATGACTGCGTTTTCAAGCCTCAGGTCTGTGGTATTTTCTCCAATTTTTAAATATTCTGTTTTGCTTATGTTTACAGTAAGCCCCCATTTGGCATATTCCTCAAATAATTTTCGATTCTTATAATTTATATCTTCCTCATCGGTTGCAACCACCACCTGATCATCTGCAAACAACAATGTATACAGAGTTTCTTGTCCCACTTCGATGCCCATAAATCTACATTTATTTCTCCAATTCCTCAATGCTTCTTGGACGTATATTTTAAAGAGTGTCGGTGAGAAACAGCATCCTTGCTTTAGGCCTTTAGTGACTTTAAATTCATTTGAGGTTCTGGTTCCAATTTTTACACAACTAACTGCATTTTCGTACATAACTAGTATTACCAACTGATAAGTCTGTAGTTTCCAATTTCTGCTACATCTCCTTTTTAATGCAATGCAACTTAAACTGTATTCTAACGTCACTTCTTCTTCTTCAAGTGCCGTATCTGTATTCAGACGTTGGCCATCATCATGTTTACAATTTCTGAATCCATTCTTTATTAGCTGATGTGCTAAATAATTCATCTACTGTAGTGCCACACCATTTTGTAATATTACAAAGCCATGAAGGTTCTTTCGACCAATTCATCTCTATCCTTCCATTTTTCCTTGTATTATAAGGCTAAGTAAATGTCATTTGGGTACTCCAATCATATGGTTTGTATAAGTGTTTTGTTTTTCTTCTCTTTATGATGTTTTTGATCAAGCGTTCTGAATTCATCATTTTAAATTTGAAGTGTGGGAAACCCATGACATTTTAGGATCCGTTGGTCTATAGTACCACAATTTGAATGCTTCTAATTTGTTAAGCAATGTGGTTTTCAATGTCCATGTCTCACAACCATATAATAGGATAAACTATACATAACATTTTAGGACCTTCTTGCGAATATATATCGACAGGTTTCTATTACATATAACTGGTTTCCAAGTCATAAGCGTTATGTGGTATTTCGATCCTGGTTAGTATCTCTTCATCAATTCTCTTCAACAATTTACATTAACCAGCTGCCGAGCTATTTAAAACAGTTTATGCGTTTTATCTTGTCTCCATTAAGTGAAAACAAACTTTGATCTATATAATATTATATATGAATAGCACTATATATTATAAAATAAACGTTAAATCTCGAATAAATCGACATAAATGATTGATATTTTGATATAAAAATTAAAGATTATTGAAAATAATTAATTAAATTAACTTGGTTAAATAAATGAATTAAATTTAATCCAATTTTAATTTAATTAAATTTAATAGAATTAAATTTTGATGATTTGATTGAATTACTTTGATTAAATTATTTAATTTAAATAATAAAGTATTGCTATATTATTGACGACTAAAAACAGATGGACATTTCTATTTGAAATCAGGTTAAACATTTACAATTGCTGAATGCATTTTGTTAGTGAAAATAAAACCAAATGGAAAGTGACTAAATGAGCACAATGTAAATTCCAAATGCCAAATATTTAGCTACCTAAAGTTTTCCCACATCTACCAGTATTTTGAATTCACTGAAATTTGTTTAAACTCTAGCTTTAAAAGAAACCTTAAGTCTAAAGTTTTCGTACCATTTTTTACTGTAGTATTCCTCAGTATGTTTATACTTATAACTATAAGGATTTCTAGTAAATTCTAGAGCGCTTTTTAAAATACATAAATGAATATAGAAGAATGCTTATTTTGGTAAAGAATTATTGCTTTTGTAAAGGCTTGTGGGCAAATCCCATTTGTTATCCATATCGTCTGATTTTAGAAGCAATAATAAACATATCAATAATTTTATAAAACATGTTAGAAGTACAAACATTACAATACTTTTTTGGGACAAAATTATTTAAACATATCATATATTATAAGATTTTTATATCATATACAGTTTGAAATTTTTATTACATTATGCTTTTGTATGAATCTATGATCTATTTCGAAATACACAATATAATTTATTGGTACATACATAATTATTCATGAACTATGGGTACTTTACCCATAACCACTTAAACCTGCTGCTTTTATTTAAAATTATTAGCAATTATGAAAAATCAACGTTGTTGGTCATATTTTCTATATTATTTAATCTCAAAATGTTTTTTAAAATGTCTAAAAATTCAATAAGACATGCAAAATACAAAATGACCGTGACATTGATATTAAAAAAAAATTAATAAATCATATAGTGCAAAATAACTCAGAGCTCACCTTACATTACCAAGGATTATGGATACCAAAACGGAATAAAACCACTTTTAGGTCTTTCACTGAAGGTATTTCTACTTAAGGTCTTTCAAACATTTGCTCGCACTCGCACTTCTTTAGATTTACTGAGTTAGGTTCCGTGTTAATCCAGAATTAGGTTAGGTTAGGTACAATCTGAGGAGACTCTTAACCACTCTTTCACTCGACCTATAAGGTCTATTGTAGCTCATCCCTCGCTCCTAAACCCAGCCTTTTTAGGAAAGTCTATTATGGCCTAAGCTGACATTTTTTCCAAATCATAGGGCTTTAATTGGTAATGCTCTAATGTGTTGAGCCTTATTCTATCTAACTCTGGGCAGTTGCATAGGGAAGATGTGCCAAGTACCAAAAATCAAAGAAATAAAAATGGAATATTTTTACAGTAAATATGTTTATTATTCACAAAAAAATTAACATTTGCAAAATTCCATCATAATGTCCATCAAAGGATTCAGAAGCGCTAGCAGTAGCTAAAGCCTAAATTGTCACAGTAGAGCTACTGGATGCCGAAGATTTGCAGGGCTAAACTACATTTGTGAAACACGATTTTAGTGCTTATATGATTAAAGAAGTATATGAGAAAGAAACAGCAGGAATCAAGGTCAATAGAACACCAATTAACAACATTAGATATGCTGACGATATTATTATAATAGCAGACAATCTCCAAGACCTCCAAAAGCTAATGAACAAGATAGTTGAGTATGGAGAAGAATATGGATTATCAATAAACACCAAGAAAACCAAATTTATGAGGATATCAAAAACCCAAAATAATGGTGAAAGCCTAACAATTAACGGCAGTGCTTTAGAACAAGTTGAAAACTATCACTATCTTGGCACAATAATTAATCACACAAACGATTACTCCAAAGAAATCAAAGTTCGAATAGAGAAAGCACGTACAAACTTCAATAAAATGAGAAAGGTACTTTGTGCAAGAGAACTAAAATTGGACTTGAGAGTTAGGCTGGCAAGGTATTAGATTTTCTCGACTCTGTTTCATGGGATAGAAGCATGGACATTTAACGCATCGACTGCTAATTTTCATTAGCATTTGAAATGTGGGTGTATAGAAGAATTCTGAAGATATCATGGACCGAGCATGTAACAAACAACAAAGTCATCAGAAGAATCAACAAAAGAATGGAAGTATTGGAAACCATCAAGACACAAAAGCTGCAATACCTGGGGCATGTTATGCGTAATGAGAGATACAACCTAGTTCAATTGATTATACAAGGGAAAATCCAGGGCAAGAGAAGTGTAGGAAGAAGAAGAATCTCATGGTTGCGTAACTTGAGGGAATGGTACGGATGCACGGAGGGATGTACGGATCAATTGAACTATTCAGAGCAGCAGCATCTAAGATCAGAATAGCCATGATGATTGCCAACCTCCGTCACGGAGATGGCACGTGAAGAAAAAGAAAGAAGTAGATAAAGCTGCATCAAACCTGTCTCTTATAGCCAATGGTTGTACAGATAAAGGCTTTGTTGTGCTGGAAACTGTGTTACCATGGGCTTCATTGTCTTTAGAAAAGTAAGTTGTAGCAAGATCTAGGTCTTTAGAAAAAGTAAGTTCTAGGTCTGTAAAAATAGTCTTTATCCTACAAATAGGTTGAAAAGCTGTTTTACCCAATCCAGCAATGTCTGTTTGAGTTATTTCAACCCGTTATTTTAACTGGTTTATTTGCTTTGTTCAAACCCCATTGTACGCAGTCTTGGAGAATCTCATTATTGCTCGGTCGAGAGGCTAAAATTTGTTGGTGTTTGGGGGAGTAGACTCACCTTATGAACATTGTGGTTTTTCTCATATATTACTTGTATCTCCTTGTGAGAACTAGTATTAAAAGAGCCGGACTTTTCTTAGTGGGATTTACTCGAGCAACAAACATTTTTAGCTAAAGCAAAATTGAATTGCCAATGCTCCACCCACTTTGTTTATACGCAAAATATTTATTCCCTGGGCATCCTTCTTTAAGTGATCTTAACACTAGCAAATGCAAAAAATGGAGGTAAAAATACATCATTCATATTTGGGTCAGATCATTGACCCAAATATGAATGGGTTCATCATCATCATTCATATTTGGGTATGTCTGCTAGCGTGCTCTTTAGGTCAGAAAAATTAAAAGAAGCTTGTCTAATAGTCATTTTGTTTTGCAATACTTGTTTTTTGCCATTTTCATCGAGTCATCTGACCAAACCCCCTTTTTTTCTATTTCGACATCTTGTTCAATGTAGCTAGAAAGGAAAAAAAAAGAATTAGTGAGCTATCACACAATATTTAGTGTCCGTTACTAAGTAGTTAAATAGATGGGCTAGCTATTTACTTACCTGTCCTCGCTACTGGTACAAGCACTTGTACAAGTACTTACCCGGTAGGTTGACATTGGGTTGGTTGTTGCCTTACAAGCTACTGATACAAGCAACTAACCCGTTTACTATACCAATGTAAACTCCGCTTAAGACTAGTTTTTAAATTTTCGCTAAAATAATTTGTTCGAGAAAAAAATGTGCAACTCTTCACTTTTTTATAATGTTTGCTTACTTTTAAACTCCGTTGAGTTTTCTGGTATTTTTGGTGCGAATAGCGTCATATTAGTATTGATTTTGTGTAAGACTATTAGTTAATTAAAAACCATGTGTGGTTTGGTGCTTCTATTATCAACATTAGTAGCAACACCAGTTCTTGAGACTTTTGAGTTCTGCAACTTTCAAGCTAAGAAGTCTAGCTAAGATTTTTTTAGTTATACTTTTAACATCTTTATTGTGAGTTCTTGATACACAAGTAATCAGTAATGAAATTTAATAAAAAGTAGAAAAGACATGTGACAGACGCCTTGAAAGTAGAAATTTATCCATGCCGATGCCGATGTGCTTCATTTTTCATTTAACAAAATTGTATAATTTCTATAAAGACGAAAGAGTATAATTTATCGAATTAAAAAATAGCTAATATATAAATAAAATTGTCCCAAAAATGTTGTATCTTGTTGAGATTTTAATGTTTTTACTAAATAGAGTTAATAATAAAAGTATACTGTTTACGGATTTGCCCAATGGCCAGTTTGAAATTTTTGTGTAAAAATAAAAATCTTTTAGCAACTTAGATTTAATCTTTTTGTGGGCTTTAATATTTATTACATATCACGTGAAAAGCAATTTAGTTGATATCATCTTCGGTTAAACCTTAATTATCTGTTAATAATTCTGTTGATTCTTAAACCAGTTCGTTGGCTAAGAGTTTGGTAAATTTATATCGATGTGAGTTGCCAGGAAACTCATGAATTGAACGTACCTTCAGCCAAAACTGTTTAATTCACAGCAGTACTTTTTTAAACATAACAGGACTCTTTTAATCATCCTAAGCGGATCTGCTACTTTCGATTGGATTTCAAGTCATAATTCTGATATGGCACGTGAAGAAGAAGAAGATGGACTTTACTGGAGAGCAGTTTGCTGACTGTTAGCTCATTTAAAATTAAATTATTTGTTCTGTAGTTGATCCATGAAATTTGAAACAATTTTCTACAACAGAACATTTCAATGGCGTATATCTTTGTTCTTTGCGTTTGTGTTAGAGACAAAGATTCACATCCGTATGTCAGTATTGATAACAATAAGTAGCTCATTTTTAGAGTTCGTAGAATTTGAGAATACTTCCATATTTTGGCTATCTTTATTACCGCGACATTTGCTACATCCCACCTATGTTTCGTTTCTTTCTGTAGTGACCATGTGTTTGTGATCAACGATCTCAGATATAAGTATAAGCATGAGTTCAATCTTGGTTATGTGTGGATGATTGTTATGTAGTCCATCCACTGTCCAATATATAAATAAACGTGGTTAGTACCTAAAAATTGTGGTGGTCCATGCTGAAGTTTTGTTCGATCTGTCTAGCTCGATCTCTGTTCATGCTTCATCTCTTTTTTGTTTATATATTATAAGGCCCATATTTTGTGATGTCGTTAAAAAGGTAGAAATCACCTCTTTAAGTCAATCCAACGGTGGTAATCTAAATCGTCATCGTAGGACAAAATCTACCTTAACTTATTGAAGAGTGTTGCTCTATTACGTAACTAGGCATCTTTTATAGTCTTTTCTAACGCAGTATTGAAGAGAAGACACGCCAATGCGTATTCCTGTGGTATTTCTATACACGTTTCAAATGTTCACGTTAGATATTCTTCGATTTAAACTCTGCAAATCACCTTACACGTAGTTGCTTTTTAATTTCTGTTAATTTATTGGGAATATTAAGTTCATTAATGGCTTTATATAATTTAGCTCAAAAGTTAAGAGATAAAAAATATTAATACTAAATTCATCGATTTTTCTGAAATTTAATGTAGCCCAAAAATCAGGTAAAATGTCGACGTACCATTGGTAAATTCGCTTTGGGATTCACGAAGGTGTTTTTAGAGTTCTATATTAGCCTTTATGAGTTCTACATTGAGTTTATTAAGACTATATACTGAAACCAGAAAGCAGTAGTAAAGGTGAACGATACAGAAACAAATAATATGCTGATTGCCAGAGGGGTAAGGCAAGGATGCCTCTTGTCCGCTTTTCAACGTGTACACACAGGTCATATTCAGAACAGCCTTATGAAAAAGAAAAAATGGAATAAGAACTGGTGAAGAAATCGTAAACACCATGAGATTTGCAGGTGACATGGTAATTATGACTGAGAGTATAGAAGAACTACAAACTTTATTAGATGAAATAAATAGTGAATGCGGAATGGGTCCAATAAATAGTCCAATAAATAATGAACAACTCACCCTTGGTGGACAGCAAATAGAGAGAGTGACAAAATATAAATATCTGGGAGCTTACATCAAGACAGAATTAGATCCAGAACAAGATCCATGTTACGTCTGGTCCCAACTATTCTATGGGATTAAAACATGGACGTTAAAAGCGCAAATAGTTAAGAAGCTTGAAGCCTTTGAACTTTTGATATACCCGAGAATGTTGAGAATTCCATGGACTACCAGGGTCACCAATGAGGAAGTGTTGAGAAGGATGGTTAGAGACAAAAAAGACTGCATACCTTGGACACATACTGAGAAATGATAAATATAGTATTCTGCAGGTCATCATGCAGGGTGGAGTAGATGGCAAAAAGGGAATAGGTAGAAAGAGGAAGTCATGGTTGCGAAATATTCAAGACTGTACAAACATGACTGTAGATAAATTATTCCACGTTGCAAAAGACAGAGAAACTTTTAGAAATGTGGTCGCAAATCTTCGTTAATGGGGACGGCATAGGAAGAAGAATATTGCGCTTGAAAGAGTTTTTGTACAAAACCCCTGTAATTTTTACATTCCAACAAGTATCTTTTTTTGTGCAGTGGTATTATGATTCCTGTGCACCATTTTACTGGCATTTGTTCCTTTTTCTAGACTTTAAACAATACCTTGTAAATGTGATGTATAATGGATGGTATTGGAATGGATGTTTAGTGGGGTCTGCGGGAATGTTTCTCTATCACATATTTTGTTAAATAGACGACATAAAAGTTCATATTTTATTGATTTTAACATCGCAATAATAAAAGTATAAGCTGAGAAAAAACTGCTTCGTACAAATATAGCATAAAAAAAGGAAATCATAAAAAAAGCTGAACCCTGTAGAGTCCAATGTAATGCTGATATAGCTGGAGTTTTGAAATAGACAAGAAAAAATATAAGAAGGTAGATTCAAAATTCATCGCATTGCAATATTGACAAAGTTGTATATTGTACAAATATTTACTAAGACAAATTGGCTAAAATTTTAAAAAGCCTCATATACCAACAGCCTTATCAAGCAATCAACCGTCTTTGTACTGAGCGCCACGGGTTTCAATCTGGCCAAGTTGCTCAAGTTTGAGAATTTTCTATGAAATATAAAGTAAAATTTTCATATACATCAGATTACTACTTTTCTGAGCAACCACATTCGCTTGGATATAATAAATTAGTATGTTGACACTATGAGGGATACTTGTAAAGTAACACATAGTAGGTATTTACTAAACAAATACACTATGCACAACACTAAAGGGCTACCCACAAAAGATTCAGTGATAATTTGTGATACACAAATATTGCTGTATAATATTTCGATTTTATACTGCAAATATCAACATTCTCAACATCTTAACTTTATGAAAATTATCACATTTAATTTCTTCCAACTGGCGTCATAATATTTTTTTTTTAATATTTTTAACTGAAGATGATATGAGTTATATTACAAATACCTAGCTTCATGTTACAGATCGTCCAAAAGCTAATATTTTTTAAATTGTTTTATTATTTAAGTTAGGTTGATACATAACTAATATTGCTAGGAAATTCGTATAAAATAAGGAAATCATTAAACAAATCATTTTTATACTCAATGAAAATACGGAGATACAGATATTAGTTGCTTATGATACTCCTTAAATTTTATAAATTTTTTATTGTAACCGTATTAAGTATGAAAATGATATTATATTATTCAGGAGAGTTCAAAACTGTTGACCAAATATTAGGAAAAATTTTACGGTCTCTCTTAGCAAAATTATTTATTGAAATGTCCGTGTGTGTTCTAAGTGGAGTAAAGAAAATGTTTATTTAATAAAAAGAAATAATGAGCTGCTTTTGTTTTCTATTTAAATTACCTTAACCAAAACACAACAAACAGTATCGTAGAACCTCAACAGAAAGAAGGGTAATTGATAGATTCTACCGTAATTTGATGAAAATTCATTTTCAGTAACAATAAAACACTGAAAACTTTGTTTTTAAACTTCCACAAAATTTATTTTAACGTATCACTACAGCTGTTTCAGCTGACTGCCTTTCTCAAGTGATCTATTTTTGGCATGCATTTACACTTTATAGTCTCTAATGAAATAGGTTGAGGAGGGGAGAACTGTTTGTCTCAAGTTGGTCATTCAGAATTATACCTGAGTTTTTTAATTTGTTAATTTCCATAGATTCTAACAAGGATAGCTTAAGGCCTTTATTTTGAATGTGAAGAATTTTAAATTCATCATTAAAAGAATGATTGTGATCTAGAAGGTGAGGTGAGTATGTAGAATCTGTTTTTTTATTATTGAAAGCCCTTTTATGTTCTGCTACTCGTTTATTAAAGTTTCTACCCGTTTGACCGATGTAAGTTTTTGGGCACTCGCCACATTTAAGTTTGTACACACCACTGTGTAAGTGTTTTTTATTTTGGCTCTTGTTGTTTTTGACATATTTGCCTAGGTTGTTATTTGTTCGGAAAGCTGGTGTTATATAAAAAATAAAAAAGAAAGGAATACCACTAATAATAATAATAATAATAATAAATAAAAGAATAACTGAACGTGTATAATAAAATAAATTTTAGTGTGAATACCATTAATCATGTTTTATTTCTATGTTCGTGGCTCCATAAGAGACATTTGGGGCATTTGACCATCTCTTCAATTCTTTTTTCCTCGCAAATTGAACAAAACCACTCATCATGCCAGCTTGACACGACATTTAAAAGAGTAGACTCTGTAGGATTTTTACGTTTGTTTTTTGCTAAGTTTTTCTTAACACATTCTTTTTCCTTTTAGGACTAGTTCACCTTCTAGTTTTATTTTTGGAGCACTTTCTTGGCATAAGGAACATTAGTTTCTTGGAAGATTTCGGTTTAACCTTTCTAATTTAATTTTTATTTGTTTTATCTGTTTCTACACCAACAGTAAAGTAGCTTTTTAGCTAATTCTAATTTTTATAGTCTTCCCGTCAAAACCATTGCCTTCTATGCTGTTCGCGTTTTGAATTTTGGATGAGCTTTCGGTATCGGAGACATTTAATCAAGTGAAATGTTAAGTTTTGGACTTACTTCACGAGTTTTTTTAGTAGACCTAGTGGGTGAAGTAGTAGCTAAACTCTCTTTAGGACTAGGTAGTTCAGGCAGATTATTTCGTACTCTACATTAGCTTATCTTGTAGACCTAAGTGGTTCCTTGTTTTTATCATTAAACTCTTTATTTTCACAATCTTCCCAGTTTTACTGCCTTTATGGTCATTTAAATTTTCAGCCACACAAAAGCCATGATGTTTGAAGACCATACGATCAACAGGCAATACTCCACTAGTTAAAAAACCATTGACTCCAATTTCAATACTTGCTTCTCTCCCATAAGCTTCAGAAATCAAGCCAGATACATTAAATTGTGTAACACATAATTAGAAGTTAGAACGAAGCCACTTTTCAACTGATTGAGTCTAATAGCCTTTGAAAGGCTTAAAGAATGATCTAAATAAAGTCTGCACGCGATGGGTCCTATGCCCAGGCAATTGTAGCATTATTACACCGTGCTCTCTAGTATGTAAAATTGCTTTAAGATTATTGTAGTGCGTTTTATGCCCATCCAGTACCAAAAGGACTTTTTTTCACTTGTTGGGTTTACAAAATCAATAAAATGCTGGAGCCATTTTACAAAGAGATCACTAGTCATGTAGCCTGATTATGATTTCTCAATCATACCTTCCGGTGGAGCACCAACCCTCAAATCATTGTTCATTAGCATACGCTTAAATATAAACATAGGCGGAACGTAAATTCCTGAAGCACTTGCACAACAAACAACTGTCGTGTTGACTCCACGATCTCCACTGGAAACTGACACAACTTACCTTTTACCTTTTTGTTCGAGAACCTTTTGGCATTTGTTCTGCACAGTACTAATATCTGTTTCATCAAAATTAAATATGCAACAGTACTAATACCTGTTTCGTCAAAATTAAATATGTAAGCTTCTTCTTCTTGTCCTCGTAGCACTACAACCCGGGATGGGTCTTGGCTGATTGCACAACTTGCTTCCATCTATAATAGTTGGGTCAGTGGGTAGCCCCATTGTTCTTAGATCTGACCATATAGTGTATCCCCATCGCATTCGTGAACGTCCTAAGGGCCTTCTTCCTGTGGGGTCTTTCTCCCATATTAATTTGGCAAGGCGGTTATTAGGGAGTCTATAGACATGGCCAGTCTATCTTAGACGTTGGCATTTAATCTTTTGGACTATGTCGCTCGCTCTATACATCTGCTTGACCTTAGCATTTGTTCTCATTCGGTGTTGGTTGCTATTAATGTCGTGATAGGGCCCAAAGATTCTTCTGAGAATTTTCCTCTCAAAACATCTTTTTTCTTTCAGTTTCTTTGGTCAGAGTCCACGTCTCACACTTATACATTAGCACCGGTCTAATCACCGTTTTATGTATTCTAAAGATATTCAGACGTATTTTTTTTCGCTGTCTTTGAGATAAATGTTAATATACTGTTTAGTTTATTTAATCTTGAGTTCCTTCATGGGTTATTAGAGACCATTGTTTTTTTTATAGCAGTTTAGCTGTAATATATTCCGTGTTTTTTGTTTTTTTCTTGTCAAACTGTTATATTTTGTTATCTAGTTATTACCTATCGCTTATCTATCTGCCTTTAATCTGAACTTTTTTATCATCTGTATCCTTATCCACCCCCAATGAAGCTCTGATTTAAGCAACGCGGTCTTCGTAAAGTTTTTGTGAACGATCAGCTTTTTAACATCTACTTTTGTCAGGATTTCCAATACAATGTAAGGGCGCAATCATGTCTAAGTAAAGTATGAATGAAAGGTATCATTGAAAAGCTTAATTAAAATTTTTACATGGATAGTTTCCTCTCAATTTCTACTGTTGCTATTGTGTAAAATGTATCATAGCAATTTTATTTATAATTTTGTTTATTTTGTCTCAAATTAAGTGTCTCAAATTATCTTTAGAAATTGTATTGTTTTTAAAATTTCCTGAAAGTTAAAATTACTGTTATTTCAAAAAATTATTATATATTTTATTTTTATACACATAAATTTTTCTGTTTGTCCACACGGAAAACTAACTTTGTATGAAAACTAACATTATAAAATTATAATTTTTTCAAATTTCTAAAAACCTCTAACAAACTAAAAACAAAGTGTCCTTTGAATAGAAGAAATTGTTTTCTATTTGTTTTATATTTCCATAACAGCCTGATCACCAAAACCAAAATAACTTGTTTGTATGAAAACAACGTCAGGGACAGTG